ATGTAGCTTTCCTCATCTCCAAGTATCATAATTTCATCTTTCACACTGTGAGCAATCAATGATCCCCAGGCCACCACCCATTCCAGACTCATTACAGTCCCCAGTTCCAAACTCCTAGGAGGGGCGGTGTGAAGTTCCCTCTTCTCTCTGGACTCAGCTGCCACATGATGACACTTTCCCCTGCTGCATCTTGGTGATTCGCTCTATTGACACAGCATAGATGAAGTCATCAACCCTGGAATTATCACACTAGAATCTTTCCCAAGGTCAGGCTTGAGAAATAGCAAATGGGCAGTGCTCTTGCTCCAAGAGTGACCCAACTCCTCAACATGGATAAATGCATGTCATTGTAAGACCAGGTATGAGTTCCAGGACCCTACTTGTTGATGCCTCTGACACGGGACTGATCATGAAAATGCCACTTTGTCCAGGGTCAAATGTATTTTTTTTATTAAATCATATCTTTGTAATTTAATGCATTTATGGGGTACAATGTGCTGATTTGGTATATAATGTGGAATCCTTACATCAAACTGATAAACATAACTATCACCTCACTTATTTGTTGTGGTAAGACATTTATACTCTACTCTTAATAGTTTTGAAACGTAACATTGCATTGTGCCCATTAGGTGAGGTCCCACCAAATGGCCTTCCTCTTCCCACCCTCCCTCTTCAACCCCCCTCTCGTCCTCTGTCCTCCTTATTTCTGGACTATAGTTGTGTTTTATCATTCATATGAATGTGTAAGTGATTACATATTGGTTTCACAATAGCATGAAGTACATTGGATACTTTTTCTTCCATTCTTGAGATACTTTACTGAGAAGAATATGTTCCAACTCCATCCAGGTAAACATAATAATATAAAGTCTCCATCTTTTTATGGCTGCATAGTATTTCATGGCATACATATACCACAATTTGTTGAACCATTTGTGGGTTGATTGGCACTTGGACTGCTTCCATGACTTGGAAATTATGAATTGGGCTGCAATAAACATTCTGGTGCAAATGTCTTTGTTGTAAAATGATTTTTGATCATCTGGGTATATACCTAGTAGAGGAATTGCAGGTTTGGACGGTAGGTCTACTTTTAGCTCCTTAAGTATTCTCCAAATAGGCTGTATTAGCTTGGATTCCGACCAGCAGTGCAGAAGTGTTCCCTTCTCTCCACATCCATGCCAACATCTGTAGTTTTGGGATTTTGTGATGTGGGCTACTCTTACTGGAGTTAGATGATATATCAAAGTGGTTTTGAATTTCATTTCTCTGATGATTAAAGATGATGAGCATTTTTTTCATGTGTTTGTAGGCCATGCACCTGTCTTCTTCAGAGAATTTTCTGTTCAAGTCTCTTGCCCACAAATAAATGGGGTTATTTGTTCTTTTCTTATTCATTAGTTTGAGTTCTTTGTGGATTCTAGTTATCAGACCTTTGTCGGAAACATTACCTGCTAATATATTCTCCCATTGTGAAGGCTGTCTGTTTGCTTTACTTATTGTGCTCTTGGCTGTGCAGAGTTTTCTTTCTTTCTTTCTTTCTTTTTTTACAAAAAGACACAACAATTTTATTTTTATTTAAAGCAACAATTTATAATTGTGTAAACTTATGGAGTTCACAGTGATGTTATAATCTATGAATACAATGTGGAATAATGAAATCAAACTAGTCAATTTATCCATCACCTCAAATACTTAACATTTTTATGGTAAGAACATTTGAAATTTACTGTTAGCAATTTTGAAATGTATATTACAATTAACTATAATCACCACATTGTGCAACAGAACTCAAAAAAGAATAAAGCATTCTTCATGAGATTTTGCATCTTTGTCAATGAGATAAAATACCATTGCTATTCAAAATAGCATCCAAACGTGGGTGTATTTACCCACATCCTCTAGGTCATAATAGAGCAAGCAGTTGAACAGAGTAATAATTGATGGTATTTCAGGTTTAACAAACTATTAATAAAGAAAGTTTGTGGAAGAAAGGCATAGGAACATGGTCTTATAAGAATTAGAACCAAGGGGCTCCATAGTCATCTGGCATCCATTCAATATTATATCTGTGGTTAGAAATATACATGATAGGAACTTCAGGGATTTTCCAGATTCTTCATTTAAGGTCTCAGTCAACTGTGGCCACGATGTAACACTTGTGCTTAGTTACCCTCTGTGCTAAGCAGTCATCTGCACAGGTTCCTTTGTGTGTGCATGGTAATTATTCAAATCTCGGATCCTTGGCAATCCTGAGGGCCACTCGATACTTCTGCCCCAATTTCTCAATTTCAGTCATCACACAATCAGTTATACAAGGATGCACTTGGCATACAGACAGTCCATCATTGACTGCACTAAGTCCAGTTTGGCTTTCATGGAAAAGTCGATAAAGTTGGTATCAACCAAGATGTGGTAATGTGAGCCCAGTTGTGTATTATATTGGAAGAATAAGCAGGAAGGGTGCTGGGGGACTTTTTCCTTTAATGTTCTGGGATCTTTCTTTTCTTTATTTTTAGGTTTCAATCTGTCCTTTTCCTTAAGCCTCTGATCCCCGAGACTAAGCATTCATTTCATGGTTGCATACTTCCTTGTTTTCTTTTGCTTCCCCATGCTCATGCTACACTCTTGTTTCTTCCACTGTGTAGAATGTTTTTAGCTTGATCAGATGCCAGTAATGTATTTTTGGTGTTGCTTCAGTTGCCAGGGGGTTCCTCCTCATAAAATATTCTCCCAGGCCAATTTCTTCAAGTGTTTCCCCTTCACTCTCTCCTAGTATTTTTATAGTTTTATGTCTTAAGTTTAAATCTTTTAACCAGTGAGAATCAATTTTTTTTAATGGTGAGAGGTCCAGTTTCAGTTTTCTAAAGGTCACTAGGCAATTCCTCCAGCACCATTTGTTAAGTAGGGAATCTTTGCCCCAATGAATGATTTTCATAGGCTTATCAAAGATAAAATGATGCTAAGTGGCTGGGTTCATCTCTTGGTTCTCTGTTCTGTTCCATAAATCTACCTCTCTATTTTTGTGCCTGTACAATGCTGTTTTGATCACTATAAATTTATAGTATAGCCTGAAATCTGGTAAAGTGATACCTCCTGATTTGCTGTTATTTCTGAGTAATGTCTTGGCTATTCTAGTTTTTTTCTGATTCCATGTAAAAGTACTATTTTTTCCAGATATTTAAGGTATGACAATGGTGCTTTAATAGGGATTGCCTTAAGTTTGTATATTGCTTTGGGTAGTATGTGCATTTTAACAATGTTGATTCTTCCCATCCAGGAGTGTGGTTTTTTTTTTTCCAATTTGTTAACTTCTTTAGTTATTTCTTTTCTTAGAGTTTCATAATTCTCTTCACAGAGATCTTTCACATCCTTTGTTAGGTAAATTCCCAGATATTTCATCTTCTTTGGCACCACTATCAAAGGAATAGAGTCCTTGACTATATTTTCAGCTTGACTGTTGTTATATATAAAAGCTACTGAATTGTGAGTATTGATATTGTATCTTGAGATGCTGCTGTATCCCTTGATCACTTCTAAGAGTTTTGAAGTCGGGTCCCTGGGGTTTTCCAGGTATCCAGGTATAAGATCATATCACTGGGAAGAGTTAGAGTTTGATTTCTTCTCACCCCATCTGGATACCCTTGATTGCCTTCCCTTGCCTGACTGTGATGGCTAAGACTTCCATTATTATGTTTATAGCAGTGGAGACAATGGGCATCCTTGTCTAGTTCCATATCTGAGTGGAAATGTTTTCAATTTTACTCCATTCAATATATTATTGGTTGTGGATCTGCTGTAGATAGCCTCTATCAGTTTAAGAAATGACCCATCTAAGCTTATTTTCCTGAGTGTTGTGATCATCAAAGGATGCTGGATATCATCAAAAGCTTTTTCTGTATCATTGAGAGAAGCACCTTGATCCCCAAACCAGGTAATGACCCCCTCCCCACCAAAGAAAGAAAACTACAAGCCAATATCATTAATGGATATCAAGACAAAAATATTCAGTAAGATCCTAGTGAACAGAATTCAACAACACTTCAAAAAAATTATACACCATGATCAACTTGGTTTTATCCCAGGGTTACAAGCTTGGTCAACATACATAAATTTATAAATATGTCACATAAATCAAATAAAAGGTATGTTTTTGTTTATAAAATGCTCAGTTTCTACCCAGGAAGTGTTTCAGCACAAAGTATGTAAATAAATCAGCCTAGTTCCTGCATCATGGGGAAAGTGCTATTCCCTCTAACCCTCATCCTTCATACTGGGGTATTGCTTTGCTCTTCAGTGCTCTCATCTCTAACAGTGAAGATGGGGCAGGCCCAAGGCTCTGAAGACTCCAGGACTTGGGAGCAGGTTCCCGTCCTCCTGTGACACTGGCTGTGTGCAGAGGCGGCTACTCTGCCTGCCTAAGGCAGCTGTGTAGAGGAGAATAGGAGAACCTACTCTCCCAGAAAGGAGGTCTCAGAGCTGTAATTGTAATTGGCATGGAAAGAACCCCCTGAGAGTTTGAGCCTTATGACTGAGCTTAACAATTCTCCATCCAGCTATCCAGCTTCAACTTGACCCAGTGCACACATCTCTGGCCTAGCGATGCCCAGAGGGACCATGAGAAAGTATTTTTCTCTCTTTGCCCTTCAGTTCACCCCAGTCAGGGAACCTCCACCTCTGCTCACATAGCCTCTTGCTTGAGGTGTCCTCCTCTGCCCTCCCCAGACTTCCCCAGCTGGAAGCCAGGCCTGAGCTCTCCCTCACTGGGACATCTGGGTGGTCACTGCCATCAGGGAGGAGCCTAGGCCTCCAAGTGCCTTTAACTGCACCACTCTGACTGCTGGGCCTGTCCTGGGGACAGGGCTGCTTCTGCTGCTGTGGGAATTTCATGAGCTAGATTCAGTTCCCTTCTGACTGGGAAGTCTCCAGGAAGGAGAACATGTGATGTATGCATCAGTGTGTCCAGAGAGTGATGCACAAAACAAGAATACAATTGCTCTCCATGAGTGAGAAGTCTTTTATTACATGTATTTCTATCCATATGTCAAGAAACCTTCTAAGAGACAGATATATACTGCACCAACACGACAGCAAGAATAATACAGAAAATAGTTTCTCTCTTTGGTCCCCCTACCCCTCAGGTCTGAACACTGTGATAGTTCCCACGTATGTTTTAGAAGGGCCTTGGGTCCCACTCAGGACCCCTCACCCAAAGCTCTTCCAGGAGAACTTTGGCTCAAGCTTATTTCAGGTTGTAGTCCCACCATGCTACGTGGCTGGCCTTGGACTGAGGATGGTCAGCCTTAAACATGCAAAGAAAGAGGGTGAGTGGTAGCTTTCTCTGAAATACTTGATTGTGGCAAAATTGGCAGATGTTTCAAAGATTGAACTGAAGCCCTCACAAATCTTAGCAAGGCTCTTAGAACAAGGAGGTCCGTCTAGTATTTCCACATACTCATCATCACAGGATCTAAGATGAGACTGGAACCTGGGGAGACAAGACAGTAGGCATGAGATTTTGTGACCATCCTTTCTCTCCTATAAAATGAAACCCCAAACCAATGCATGGACGCCAAATCCCAACAGCTTTGCTTCATGGAGAAAAGGGAACGCTTCTGCACTGCAGGTGGGAGTGCAAGCTAATACTTCCCTTTTGGAAAGAAGTATGGAGAATACTCAGGGATCTAAAAGTAGACCTGCTGTTTGATCCTGCAATTTCTCTACTGGGTGTATATCCAAAAGAACAAAAATCGCTTTATAACAAAGATATTTGCACCAGATTGTTCATTGCAGCTCAATTCATAATAACCAAGTCATAGAAGAAGCCCAAGTGCCCATAGACCCATGAATGGATTAATAAATTGTGGTATGTGTGTGTCATGGAATATGATGCAGTCTTAAAAAAGATTGAGACTTTACCTCTTTTATATTTACATGGATGGAGATGGAACATATTATACATACTTAGTAAAGTATCTCAAGAATGAAAGAAAAATATCCAATGTACTCAGTACTATTATGAAACCAATTTACAATCACTCACACTTTCATATGAAGACTAGATCACAACTATGGCCCAGGATGAAGGAGGGAGGAGGGGGGATAGGAGAGGAGGGGGGAAGTCAGATAGAGGGAGGGTGACTGGTGGGATCACGCCTATGGTGCATAATGCAAGGGTGCATGTCAGATCTATTAAGTATAGAATATAAATGTCTTAACACAATAATTAAGTAAATGAGATGAGGTATGTATTAACCAGTACAATGTAAGCATTCCTAATTGTATATGAAATCAGCACATTGTACCCCATAAATACATTAATGTATACATGATCTATATGTTTACAATTTAATAAAAAAAAAAGTCTGGTCAGATGGGAACAAGGCACAAGAAGTCCATACATTCTTCTAAGGGACTCCACCACCTTAGGACCCTTACAGTCCCCTTGGTCACATGAGGTTTCCCAGTCTCATGTTCCGACATCATCATGGGAGCTCAGCATGTAACTCTAAGATCCCTACAAAGGGGATCTCTTCATCAGCTGTCTTTCAAGTGCCCAAGGGGCAAATGCAACAACTCATGGTGTCTGTCATCAAGCACTGCTGCTGTGTCAGAACGAGAGGCTGAGGGCAGGGTGAGGGTCCATGGCATGGTTCCTGCCTCTCTGGCCCCCAGCAGAAGAGACAGGAGTGGGAGCAACATAGCACCCCCAGCCCAGCCTGGACCCCCTTGATGCAGGCAGAGAGGGAAGGGACCTCCACCCCCACCCTGTGCGGGACACACTGCACATGGGGTGCTCTCGGTCCTGGGACATCTCCCCACATCCACTTTCTCCTTCTCTATGTCCAGAACTGCTATGCATTCCTCACCCTCACTTAGCCCCCAGGCACATCCCCCACTCACAGGACAGAGCCCAGAGCCTCTCTGGGCTGCAACAAAACAATGGGGGGTCATGTCCCAGGACACACTCAGCTCCCTTTATAACAGCGGTTCTCAACCTGTGGGTCACGACTCCTTTGGGGGTTGAACAACCCTTTCACAGGGGTCACCTAAGATCATCCTACATAGCAGATATTTATATTATGATTCATAATAGTAGCAAAATTAGTTATGAAGTAGCAAGGAAAATAATTTTCTGGTTGGGGGTCACGACAACATAAGGAACTGTGTAGTAAAAGGTTGCAACATTAGGAAGGTTGAGAACCACTGCTTTATAATAACTTTGCTCTTGGCTCAGACAGAGTCCTTCCTTGGTGCCAAGGTTAGTCAGATCCCACAGTAAATCTTTGGAAAAGAGAAAGGACAATACCGGCAGATGGTCAGACCTGCCCATCCCTCTGACCCTGGGACAAGGAGACACAGGAAATGCCTGACTCCTTCATCCCAGGTTCTTCTTTGACCTCCTCCTCTCCTCGCTTCCCCATCTGGGTCAACTGGGCCACACTGCCTTTTACAAATCCTGTGGCACAGTGTGGGTAGATGGTCTAAGCCCTGTGTCTCAGGCAGCTGTCTCACAGGAGGCCTTCACCACACAGAACACCTGAGTGACTTGGTGGGGGCCCCAACCCTGAACAGGCCTGCAGGGGACAGGGGCCTTAGTGTCACGGATTCCATCATATCTCTCATCCACATCACGGTCCATGTCTGGTCTGGTCCCCAGGCTCACTTCAGTGACCTCAGCCTTGACTGAGTCCCTGGCTACATGCAGGGACTCATGCCGCATTGGAAATGCCTTCTGAGGCTTTATCACTTTGGTTATTCTCTCTTTCCTTCAGGGAAATTCTTTGAAGTACAAAAAGATATTCCCATTCCAGGTGACTCAAATATAGAGGCAAAGATCCTACTACCAGTTAAACAAAACCTAGAGCTTTCTTCTGAGTTGGGGCACCCCTGAGAGAAAACCATTTTCCTCCAGAAAGAAGAAGGGTGTTTCTTACCATGGAAGAGTTTGTCCTTTGAGAGAATTCCAGACAGATCATCTAAGAAGGGCTGAAGAGGGGAGAGGAGACAGGGCAGGAACAGCTGACCTCAGGCAGAGGGGAGAAGAGACAGGGCAGGAACAGCTGGACTCAGGCAGAGGGGAGAGGAGACAGGGCAGGAGCAGCTGGACTCAGGCAGAGGGGAGAGGAGACAGGGCAGG